AATCATGTCGTCCATATATACCTCGAGCATGTCGCTAATATCTCCCCGGAAGACTTTGTTCATCATCTGTTGGTACGTGGCGTCGGTGTTCTTTAGGCCGAAGGGCATTACGTTGTAGTAGTAGTTGCCCAACTCCGTCATGAAGGTCGTGCTTTGTTTGTCGCGTTCGTCCATCAGGATCTGGTTGTATCCCGAGTACGCGTCCATAAAGGACAAGAGTTTGAAGCCCACCGAGTTGTCGACGAGCTTGTCGATGTTAGGGAGGGGGTAGGCGTCCTTAGGACATGCCCGGTTGAGGTCGGTGTAGTCAATACACATGCGCCATTTTCCATTATTCTTTTTAACAAGTACAACATTGGACAACCAGGTTGAATACTGGGCTGCCGAAATAAAATTTGCCTCTAGGAGGTCTTTTACAGCTTTTTCAGCCGCCGTCGACTTTTCGGGGGACTGTCTACGCCTACGCTGTACTACGGCCTTGGCGGTCAGGTTGATGGACAGTTGATGGCAGGCGACCTCGGGGTCGAGTCCGAGCATTTCCGCGGGGCTCCAAGCGAAGAGATCAGCGTTCTCGCGGAGGCAGGCCTTCAGTTGTTTCCTCGCCAGGTCGGGGAGTCCTCCCCCGATCTTCACGGTTCTATTCTCGTCATCCCTGAGGGTTACAATCTCAAAGTCACCGTCTGAGATGAGGCACGCTGGGTGGGTGGGCTGCCCATTGGACTGGGAGGCGTCGCTGATTTCGTTTTCGCGATCGGGCTCTTCGGTGAAGCGGCTGTCGAGGTCCTCTGAGCCGACGAGTTCCTTAGGTTCGCTCTTCGGTGTCGCAGTGGGGGCTACTTTTTTAGTTGAGGGGGCGATGGTACTTAGGCCTTTTAGCGCGGTCTCGAAGCATCTCTGGGCAGCCTCGATGTCGCCATTTAGGGTAACCACGACCCCCCGCCTTGTGTAGTATTTCATCTTTAGGTGGACGGTGGAGGGCACCGCAGTAAGTTCTGCCATCATTGTCCTGCCTAGGATACAGTTGTAGAGGGACGGGCATCCGATGACTAGGAAGCGGATATTGATCTCCCTGGTCGTTTCCTTTTTCCCGAAGGTGACTTCTAACTCCACATACCCCCACGGTCTCGTCGTCGTCCCGTTGAACCCATGGAGGTCAGAGCCCACGTAGGGGGACATGTTGGATTCGTCGAGTTGGAGGGTCGTGAAAAGGTGGGTGTACATGATGTCCATCGAGCTTCCACCGTCGACCAGGATGTGTCTGACATCGAAGTTCGCCATCCGTGCCCATATTAGTAGGGGGATGTTGGAGTTGGGGGAGCCCCCGGGAAGCTCTTCGAGGTAGAAGGTGATCGGGTTGGATCAGCCGCGAAATTTGTCGAGGGTACTCATTTTGCCGGAGTTGCTGGTGATGAGTTCCTCGAACTTTCTCTTTACCGATCCTACAGATAGGTTCCTCGGGGATCCGCTGGAGATGACCATGGCCTTCGGAAAATATTCCCATCGACTGGTGAGGCACACCGGCTCGTCGGGAAGATCAGGTCCGTCGGGGAGGCCGACTTCTCTGTATGCGAACCAATCCTCAGGTCGGCTGACGCAGAGGGCGACCTGGAGTCCGTTGTCATCGTCTGAAGAGGGGAGGTCCTCGACTCTCTTGGCCTCGGGGGCGTCTTACCTCGGGGTTTCGCCTCCCCGGGTGTATCTCTTCAGGTGGCCATCTTTGATCAGGATTTCGATTGCGTCCTTGAGGTGGATGCAATCTTCTGTAACATGCCCGTGGCTCATATGGAAACGGAAGTACTTCGATTTGTCCACGTTGGGCTTGGGGGGTGTTGGTCTGGGGAAGCGGACGCCTCCTTGGACAAACTCCGTTTTGGCGCATTCGACCAGTATGCGCTCGCGGGAAGCGACTAGGGCTGTATACTTCGTGAACCGGCCGGCTGGGCCGTACTGCTCGCGTTGTTCTCGGGGATGATCCTCCCGTCGGCGATCTCCTCCGCGCCGGTGGCTTGAGGCTCCGTCCTCTCGGGGCCTGCGGGGGGTCTCTCTGTCTCGTGTGTCCCGGGCAGAGTTGGCCGCTTGAGTTTCCTCGAACCAGATATAATGCGCGGCTCTGTCGAGGAAGTCCTGTAGAAAGGTTGGTCGGTGTATGGCCACGACTTCGTAGAACTTGGAGTCTCAGAGCAGGCCTTGCTCCATCAAGTACCGCTTCATCTCGTCTGAGGTCGTTACCTGCACTGCCTCCCGTGTGAATCTTTTGATGTACTTCCGGAGGGGCTCGTCGGGATCTTGGATTATGGCGCCCAGCGCGGCTTCCGTCTTTGGGTGGCGTCGGGATGCCATAAAGTGTCTCGAAAAGAGGTCATTCAAGACCCTCCACGACGTGACCGACTCCGGCTCCAGGCTCTTGTACTACGTCATGGCACTTTTCCTCAGTATTGTCGGGAATAATCTGCATTTGATAGCTCCGCGGACGTTACGGTAGTCGAGCATGACCTCTATGTCTTCCAGGTGATCATCTGGGTCGGAGGTGCCGTCGTACGTCGAGAATGTCGGGGGTTTCTCCATCCCGTGGGGAATGGGGGCAACCATGATCTCTCGGGACAAAGGGGTCTTGTAGTCGTCTTCGTCACTGAGAGTCGGTGACCGAGGGGGTGACGAGCCATTCGGCGGAGGCGCCTAATTTCGTGCCCTCGGCCTCCTGACCAGGGGTTCAACCCTCGTAGGTCTGGTCGGGGGATCCACTCTGATCGGCCGTCTCTCCCGAACTTGTCTCGTAGGGGACCTAGTCCGCTCCCGCACTACTTTGGGTTGGGGACTCTCCAGCCGAGATCGTCGGTCCTTGGGCTTGGCGGGATATTATTGGGCTGGGCCTGCCTGGCCACGCCGGGGCCCAGGCCAGAACAGTATTGTTATTTAAAAGTTTCAAATTTTTCGTATTTTTATTAAATGTTTCATTAGAATTTCACTAATGGGACACATGTTGTCTCATATGAGACAATGTACCACAACGAAGGGAGGTCAAGTCTTCTGTATGCCTTGCTCTCATGTTATAGCGACATATTCAAAGGCTCAACTGAACCCTTCCAACTTACTATCTACCGTTTACAAAGTTATAAACCTATGCAATATTTATAACAATAGCTTTTTGGTGGTATCAAAGGAGATTGTTGGCACGCATATTAAGGGAAGATAGTTTTGCACTACGAAAACATGTGAAGAAAGAAAAATAATCACCCTAACAACACGCATATTCGAACCGAAATGGATACGACGAATAATTTAGTGAGATTATGTAGTTTTTGTCGTCTGCCCAGACACAATCTTACAAACTGTCCCAATGTTGGACCAAGCACAACATCATAATTTTATATGTAACTATTTTATTTGATATTGAAAACAACGTTCATTCCATAAATATCAATACATTCAGTTACAACAACTTAAACAACAAGTAAACAATAATTTAAACAACAACTAAACAACAAGACAAACAAATACAAGGACTAAACAACATAACTATGCGATTACAACCATCTGGACAATTTCCTCACAACTGTGCATCATAATGCGAACATCCCCGTCAATTTTAATTGAGTCTCAAAAACGACTTTCTCCATTGTCGTTGTACGCTGTAACAAACATTTGAATTCTTCAGATCTTTTCACCCTATACAATGTCTCCATCTAACCAACATATTAAGCTCCTATTAAGATGCTCGAACGTCTTTGTGTTCTACAATCAATTCTTCATCTAAGGCTTTACTGTCAAATAAATCAAATTGACATTTCTCTTGTGAATATAAGAATACATATATGAAGACACTTTAAAGAAAATTTGAATGAGAGACTTAGAAAATACGTGAAAAATGATGGGGAGGAGATGTTGTATTTATAGGAAATGCTAAACAAAGCAGTAGCCACTGCCTGTAACACATGCTCCTAGATGATGCATGCATGCGCCACTTGCAGTGACATCTTCTATATGCAGTCGCCATAGAAGATGACGCGTCTATACATTATTTTAAAACATATGTCACTCATAGTGGCTACTCCTCTTATTTGCAAAAAATAATAATAATAATTTAAGTTATGGTTAATTTAGTAAATCATTTAAATATTGATTATTTTAAAATATAATTTGAAAATGTTGATTATTATTTAAAAAAAAAATCACAATTATTATCATTTACACAATTACAATGAAAACAACAAAAATAAAGGTGCAGTAGACTATACTAGTACCTTGATAGATCCCACCGCTAAAGACAAATAAATAAATAAATAAATAAAATCAAACTCCAAACATGGATGTTTATGGACTTAAACAAACATTAGCCGTTGGATTCCATCCAACGGTAAACAAGACGTGGGTGTACTTAACGTGTTTCATATCGAAAACCTACGCTATGCTATGACACGCAACACTCTCTTTCACGGTCTTCTCCGACTCTGCAACGGTGGAGCTTCACGACCAAAAACCCTAACTCCTCCCAAAACACCGTCGTTTTGTCCCCGCATTGTTAATTCGCGTGTTTTTCCGCAATCGGAAGCTTCTGAAATTAGCTTACCACGCGCTTAATTTTTCATTTACTGTAAGTTAGGGTTTCCAATTTCTACACTCAATTCTGTAATCAGTACCATGTTTGTTGAATTAGTTTTGATTTTGATTTTGTGAAATTCTGTTGATCAATCAAATTATATTCTACCACTCTGTATAAGCTTTAATTTTTTAATTTTTTTTTTTTGAAATTATTATTAAGATCACTTTTTTGTGGTTCATTTATTTATTCTGCTACAATTTATTAGGAATATCAAAGGTGAAATTAATTTAACATGCTTGGAGAAGAACAAAGAGTGGTATTTTGTTAAAATTTTGGGCACTTTTGTTTGGTTTTGGGTTTGCATGGTGGCTTATAGAAACTTAGACTATACATGCAACTTGTGAAGCTCTTGCTAAGTATAAATAGGCACTCAATGATTTAGCAGTATAAATTGTTTGTAATGGATGTTCATGTGATACCTATTGGAGAAGGAAGTGGTAATCGAGGTATGGAGAATGGTGGGGAAGCTGAAATTGGTGAAGTTAATAATGCTGGAAACTCTGGATCACTTGCTGAGGGTATGGTTTTTGAGCCGTATTTGGGTATGGAATTTGATTCTGAAGATTCTGCAAAAACTTTTTATAGTGAGTATGCTAGACGGTTGGGTTTTAGCTCCAGAGCTGGGTTGCATGGTCAATTTAACGCTGATGGGACAAATATGTTTAGGGAGTTTGTGTGTAGCAGGGAAGGTTTGAAAAGGAAGATGACTGAAAGTTGTGAGGCGATGATTAGGATAGAGCAAAAGGGTCAAAATAAGTGGGCTGTTACGAAGTTTGTGAAGGAACATAGTCATTCTATGGCGGTACCTGATAAGGTGGAAAAACTTCGACCACTGAAGCATTTTTCTAGTGTTGGAAGAACCATGCCTGAAACTTACAAAGGAGTGGGGCTTGTTCCCACTGGTGTCATGTATATATCTATTGATGGGAATCATGTTTCCTCCAAGAATAGTCACAAGAGTAGGAACTATCCTGCAGCTGCTTCTGCCAAAACGAGTCATCCAGCTAAAAATTCCCCATTGAAGACTTATACTATAAGGCAACCACCTATTCAAAAGAAGACATTAGGGAGGGATGCTCAGAGCCTGCTGGAGTATTTTAAGAAAGTACAGGCTGAAAACCCTGGTTTCTTCTATGCAATTCAACTTGATGATGATAATTGTGTGTCTAATGTGTTTTGGGCAGATTCAAGATCAAGGACGGCTTACAGTCATTTTGGTGATGCAGTTACTCTGGACACAACACATAGAGCAAATCAATATAGTGTACCATTTGCTCCATTCACTGGGATTAACCATCATGGTCAGATGATTTTGTTTGGTTGTGCACTCATTTTTGATGATTCCGAGGCTTCTTTTGGTTGGCTCTTCAAGACATTTCTATCAGCCATGAACGACCGTCACCCTCTCTCTATAACTACCGATCAGGACAGATCTATACAAACAGCAGTTTCACAAGTTTTCTGCCAAGCACGTCACTGTATAAACAAGCGTTATGTCTTGCGAGAAGGCCACGAAAAGTTGGGCCATCTATGTCGCATGCATCCACATTTTCATTATGAACTTTATAATTGTATTAATTTGACAGAAACAGTTGAGGAGTTTGAATTTTCTTGGAACTCTATCATGGATAAATATGGACTCAGAGGGCATGATTGGCTTCAGTCCTTGTATAGTGCGCGTGATCAATGGGTTCCAGCATATTTCCGTGATTCATTTTTCGCTGTATTATCTCCTAATCAAGGATTTGATGGTTCTTTTTTTGACGGTTTTGTAAATCAGCATACAACATTACCAATGTTCTTTAGGCAGTATGAACTAGCTTTGGAGAGATGGTTTGAAAAGGAAATAGAGTCAGATTTGGAGACAATTAGTGCTACACCAGTTCTGAAGACACCTTCACCAATGGAGAATCAAGTTGCTAAGCTTTATACACGGAAAATATTTTTGAAGTTTCAAGAAGAGCTAGTTGAAACTTTTGCTTATACTGCCAACAGAATCGAAGAGGATGGGGCAAATAGCATATTTAAAGTTGCCAAATTTGAGGATGTCCAAAAGTCGTATACTGTCACATTAAACCATTCCGAGTTGAGAGCCAACTGTAGTTGCCAAATGTTTGAGTATTCTGGCATTCTTTGCAGGCATGTTTTAACTGTTTTCACTGTGTCTAATGTATTCACCATACCGTCCCATTACATCTTAAAACGGTGGACAAGGGATGCAAAAAGCAGTGTTGTATTGGATGAATGTGGTGGTGAATCACATGCACATAAGTCTTTGACATCACGGTATACCAATCTGTGTCGGGAAGCCATCCAATATGCCGAGGAAGGGGCTGTAGCTATGGGAACTTATGATGCTGCAATAGGTGCTCTTAGAGAAGGTGGAAAGAAAATTGCTGTCATGAAGAGGAATATTGCCAAAGCTTCGCCAACTAGTCAGCGAATCAGCGAGAATGCTTGTGCCGACAAGAAAGCCCTAATTTCAACATCAGATACAAGAACAACCCCTATTTTATGGCCACTAGACGGCGAAACAACAAGGTTTAATCTTAATGATGCCGGTTCTCCTGTTCAACCAGTTGCTGATCTGAATTTACCTCAAATAACCCCAAATCCACATAAACGAGTTGATGTTCCAACCTCAGTGCATCGTCAGCGAGTTGATGGTCCATCCCCAGGGCCTCGTCAGCGAGTTGATGGTCCGCGGCCAGTGCCCCGTAGGCGAGTTGATGGTCCATCCCCGATGCCTAGTCGGCGAGATGATCATCCACCATGTGTGCTTCTTCAGCAAGATGATGCTCCACCTGAAAACACGGTATGTTAAGAAAAGCCTCTTTGTTTTTATTTTTGTTTATTTATTTATTTATTTGTTTATTTATTAAATATGTTCTTGAGATTGGAATACACTGCATAGCATTAAGCTAGCCCTTTTATTCTGTCATGTAGATGGTTCTTCCATGTCTGAAGTCAATGACGTGGGTAATGGAGAACAAAACCTCAACCCCAGAGAACAAAGTAGCTGTTATCAATCTCAAGGTATGCTCACAACAATATCAACAACAACAAAAATGCCAGTAGCATTTCTAATTTAATTTAAAATTGTTTAGATAACTGTGCTTCACTTGAGAAACTTCTGCCATTTGGTTGACCATCGACCATTGCTCTTTTTTGGGTACAAAGTTCTATTTTAACATTTAATTGTTGTAGTCTACTCTGCTTTTATCCTCTTCTGCAACATTTTAACTAACTATTAGTGAGGATTGCAAGTCATTTAACACACTTCAATTGCAGTTGCAAGATTACAGCAAGGGTCCATCAGCAGAATATGAAGTTAACTTCCATCTCTCTCGAAGTACTGTCGGGCCTGTTTTGAAGTCTATGGCTGAAGTCAGCGAACAACTTTCAGCAACAGCCAATAAGGTTGCTGTAGTAAATCTAAAGGTATGTTATTTTGTTTTTAAGACTTGCCGTTCTCTAATATGCCCTGTCAGCATGCTTTGTTGCTTTATTATTCTACTACTGGAATGAAACTGGTATATCATTGCACTTCTTCGCGTACCAAGATTTTAACTTAAAAATAGATTGACAACAGAGAAGAAGGGAATAAATATCAGCTTCATTCCTTTGCATTGCCCGACTGAAAAAGAATTGTTGTTCTAATTTGGAAGCCATATTTTGATGCAAATAGAATGTATGTGGAGTAATAGTTTTGTTAATCGTGGATATCTCAGATTCTTTTTTTTTCTTGATAACATGATGTCTCAGATTCTTTTTTTTTCTTGATAACATGATGTCTCAGATTCTTTGGTTGTGGGTGAAATCTTTATGCATATTATGTAAGACCTGTTCATTGCTTGGTCTATATATAACAGTAGTCGTCTTCTCTCTCTGACCGATCCAGGTCTTTTCTCTCCTGTAATCATTTTCAAGAGAAAGTGGGAGAAATTGGGTGTAAAGAGAAAATAATAGCAATGTCCCATTTTCTCTCATTTGGTTATGGAGAGAATATAGGGTAGAAGTAGAAGTTGATGTGGGGGCCACATTAAAGTTTTCTCTCAAGTGGAGAGAATACAATTTCAAGCAGACAAGTTACTCTTTAATTTTACGGAAACTTTACTTTTTTAGATTCATTGAATAATTAATGTATATGATTTATGGACTAGATCCATTAATTATTCAATGAATCTATTTTGTTTTTAATGTGGGGTCTATTTGGTTCTTATTTTATCAAAAGGTGAAAAAGACATTACATTGATTGCATTAAATTTTCCCTACTTTTCCATCCAACCAAATAAGATTACATTCAATTTTTCCCCACTTTTCCATCCAATCATATAAGACCAAATAAGGAAAGGAGAAAAATATATTTAGATTTCTCTGGCTAGCCATACAAACAACAGGAAAAACTTTTCATTTTCTTCCAGCACCCAAATAAAGTAGTAAAGAATAAAAGGAAATGTAAAGAAGATGATGGTATTATTATGGGAGAGATAATTGTTCCTATTTTAGTTATTGTAGGAATGATACTTTCAGAAAAGGCTTTATTTACTTTCATAATTACTCGTAAGTTTGTTGAAATTGTTTAAGCTGTTTCAGCTTGAGGATGCCCAGGCTTCTGGTGAGTCTGAAGTTAAGTTTCAAGTGTCCAGAGATGCATTGGGTGCTGTACTACGATCAATGTCTTATATCCGCGAGCAACTTTCTTGCGCTGTAAGTTTTCCCTTTGCTTAAATATGTGTCACCAATAATCCAATACAAATCAGAAGAAAACTAACTAGTTTTCTATTTGGAGGCGTAATAATCATGTTAAAATATAGTCTCGAGTTCTATGTTACAATTTACAATGTAATTTGAGAATGATATATCAATTTATGCCTATATTGTTACTATAATTCAACCTAGTTTAATCTTAAATCTCTTGTTTCAATATATAGTTTTTAACCATGAATATTAATATTTGTTTACATGCAAAAAAATTGCAGGGATCAGAACCTATATCGAAAAAGCATAGAAACTGAAATATCAAAGTTTTATTTGATACGAAGGTGGTTATGTGAGTATGTATCATTTTGATGGCAGGGTGGTGGCTACATCATACACAAATGAATTAGAAAATGTAGTTTTTTTTTCTTCCTTTTGTTCTTCGCGTTCTCTACGTAAATTTGTTGTCTTGCATATATTGTATATGTATCATATCTTAGGCAGCAGACTTGTTTGATTGGAAGTATTTGGAGAATCCTCTACCCTGCATCCAAGAATGTCCAGAAAACAAGAAAAGAGAAAAGATAGTACAGTTATTCTTCAGTGTTATTTCAAGAGGCATATCATATCTCAGTTTGATGACATACTAATTATTCAAAAAAAAAAAAAAGATCATAAGTAATATCTGACTATAAAAGTGCTAAACTAATAATATAATGTGCTATTTGGTGCTGCAAAATTTGTGTCAAACAATCAATATTGAGAAATTTATGCTAGAAGTTTATTGAGCAGTTTATGACAAGTATTTGTCAAATTCAAATGCAACAATATATAGAATCTTATATTTGTAAAATGGTTCTAACTAAATCATCAATTGCTCTCAATGAAGACCCCTTTTCTTCACCTCTATCTATTGTTGCCTCTCTCATGTGTACTGCAATCTCATTTGCCTTTTCCTTCATCTCTTTTCCCTTCCCTTCTTGATCCATAACTATTTTTATAACGCTCTTTACATCATCCTTAGAAATCACACTTTCCACAGTTCTTGTCAATTCCACAGATACGCACATTTCTTCCACCAACATCTTTGCATTGTATCCTTGTTCTGCTGCAAGTGGCCAACTAATAATTGGCACTCCTTGACTAAGACTCTCCAAAATAGAATTCCATCCACAATGACTTAGAAATGCTCCTGTTGATTTGTGTGATAGAATCTCCAACTGAGGTCCCCATTTATGCACCAACAAACCCCTTTTGCTACGTTTCATCCTCTCTTCGAATCCTTCTGGTAACCATTCTGCCTTAAACGCTGCATTAATGTCGAAACCAAAAGGTGGTCTAATGACCCAAATAAAAAAAATTCCACTTTCTTCCAACCCTTCAGCTAAAGCCGCCATTTGTGAAGCACTTACTGTGTTCTGTGATCCAAAAGAAATGTAAAGAACAGAACTCTCATCTTTCAAATCAAGCCACTCAATGCATTCTTCAAGAGCTATGCCGGATTCTTTTCCAGCACGGTACTTCGAATTCGAACTCTTTGGCGGAAGAAGGGGACCAACACACCAAACAGGAAGTTGAAGATAGTTCTTCAATAGTTCCAACCCTAAAGTCTCAATCTCCTCAACAGTGTTGCAAATCCACCCATCAGATTTCATAGAAAGTGCTATCTGTGGAGGGAAGAATTTTGACCAGCCATCAGTTCCATCAGCTTCTCTTAGATGTCTATGCAACTGAGTTCTATGAAATCTGTAGTTTTGAGGAAACCCTGGAGTCCAAAACTCATCAGAATCTGTTCTTCTATGAGGTAGATTAGACCAAATAGAGATATAACCCAAAGTTCCATAAGCACCACAAGTTGTGAAAGTTATACTCCTACTACCTAAACTCTTTGCAACATTGGTAACCCAACCAAGAAACACATCTGATATAACACAAATTGGAGGATGACCCTCTTGTTCTGTGATGTTTGATATCAAAGAACTAAGAGGAGCTTCAAGGCTTGTTGAAGCATGAAAGAGTTTGATGACATCAGTTAAAGGAAGCTTCTCTGTGTTCTCTATGTTTGGTGGTAAACCATATTGCCTATGGTTGAAAGGTAGATCTGCAAGATGGATTGAGATATCAGAAAAGGTTGTGGAAATTGCAGATTTGAGATATTGAATGTTGAGAGGAGTGGTGGCTATTGTGATTGTGAAGGTGGAAGATGTTGTTTCTTGGATTTTTCTTGCTAGTGCAAGGAAGGGAATTAGATGACCATGTGCCATGAATGGTGTCATCACTATGTGTCTTTTTTTCTTTGGAGTTTCTGACATTGCAGACTCTGAATTCTTTGTACAAGAATTTTCTCTAGCTTTTTGTTTTGATTTCAAGTGTAGGAAATAATGGAAAAGAAAGATAGAGTAGCATCTTTTATTTTGAGTGAATTTATATAAGTAGCAATACGATGTGGGACAAAAACATGTGACTCATTTTTTTTGAAACACAACATGTGACTAAATGCTATCTTTATTCAAAAGTTAAAATACACTTTAAGAAAGTGATTCAATAGAATTTTTTACAAAAATAGTTAGGTTTTTAAAAAAATTCGTAAAATAATTCACATTTTAAATAATTTTTCAACCATCTCACTTTTAAAAAATAAATTTTTTTCTAGAGCATTGGTGCAAAATCAATTGACGACTGCACCTAAATATTAAGAAGAGATATCAATTGGATTGTAGTTTGGTGTGTCAATCTAATTGGTACCTATGTGTAAAGCTACAGTAGTGACATCAATTAGTCTGACACAAGTGTGTGTTGTGTTATTTTTAGTATAAATAGAGGTGTTTTTTTTATCATTTCAACACCACACCTTTTATCATAATCTTTTTTTCCTTCTTATTATCAGCAGCTCTATCATGATCGTTAAAAGAAATAGACATGTAATTTATTCTGCAACGAAGCCTCCGATGAAAATGCTTTTTTGAAACCTCCAAAGTTCTGTGCATCTTGAAAGGAGTTTGAAAAGTTGGTTAGACAGAGAGATTAATGATGGAGAAAAAATAAAAGTATTGAGAGACTTATCTCTTACATCTCAATTGCAGATGAAAACAATGATATGCAGGAAATGTGGGATATGATGTCTGCATCACATGATATTATTTTGATTGTTGTCATCCATGTTGTGGTGTTATGTCTTAAGTCTTGTATTTGTTGATTGTGTTGTTGTTTTTAAGTGTGTTTAAGTTGGTGTGATGTTTGTTATTAACATTATTGTAACAAAAAGTTATTAATATATGAAAATCTAAGGTTACAAAAATAGAAAGGAAAAAATAAATTATGATGCAGAAGTTGCTTCGACATTGGAATAATTTTTTCCGATTGTCTTTGGACTGACGACTTATACTACATAATCTTATCATTTTATCACTCGTATCTATTTTTGTTCTAATACGCATGCTGTTTGGTCGACCTTTTTTCTTTTTTTGCACCTCAACGTTGTGCCAAACTATGTCCCCTTGATATGGAGGTCAATATTCTTCCATTACTAACACTTCGAAGCTTTCATTGTAGACATTCATAACGTTAATGGCCTTGTAAACATCATATAGATGGTTGTAAGTGTCCTGACGAGTATGTGCACATGCCGCAATGACATGGAAGCAAGGTACACGGAAGGCCTGAAACTCGCCACAATCGCATCGACTTTTGTTTAGTTTGACAACATAGGATAAATTTGGCATCCCTCATTGTGGTCCATTGTTTCCTGTACACTGAAAGTTTGTCTATGACGATCAAAGATTGTAATCGCATATGTGCTAACTTTGATAGTTTCCTTTTTCATCACTTTCGTGCAACATTGACTGAATAATTGATCTGACATTAACATTGCATTTCATCTTTTGCCTCTAGTTGCAAAGAGTGATGTCAACCTAAAATAGGTTGTTCTCACTAATGCGATTATTGGTATATTTCTAATGCCTTTGAAGACGTTATTCGTGGATCCCACAAGGTTTGTTGTCATGTGACCCCATCGACATCCTCCGTCAAATGCCCCTGTCCACTTCTCCAATAAAATGTTATCCATCCACCTTCCTGCATCTGCATTTGACAATCTAATGTTGTCACGGTAGTGTTAATATGACGGTTGAGTTAAAACAAATCCTGCATTCACCATTTTTTTGCGAAAGTTCTTGTCTTTGATTGCACACATGAAGTTTTGTGCGATATGTCTAATGCAATAACATGGGTAGAAGGAGGATTATGTCATCCATTATCTTGGTTATTGTAAGCACTCTCAATAACAACATGTCTGTCTGAAATCAAACAATGATTGGCTTGTGGAACCACATGTATTATGAAATTCCTAAGGAAGAAACTCCAACCACCAGCAGTCTCACCTTCAACCAGAGCAAAGGCAATGGGAAAGATATTATTGTTGTCATCTTGTGTAACTTCCATAAGCAAGGTGCCTTTGTATTTTTCATATAACCATGTTTCATCAATTTGAATAATAGGTTTACAGAATGCAAAATCTTTGATGCATGGTTAAAATGTCAAAAATCTTTAATAGATTTTCATATAACCATGCAGAAGTCTATGACAATCCGTTCATGCAGGCTATGAAGTCATCAGTCAAATTGGCACTTTCTCTAGAATTTTGAATGTGGTCGGCAATTGAGATGACACCACATTTAACGCATGCATTGCATGTTGTTCCCTATAAATAAGCATAGCCTTTGTATCCATTTTTTATTAACAACACTACATATCTCTCATATTTTCATCAGTAACCAAGATTTCACTTCATATCTCTCATATTTTCATCAGTAATCCAGATTTCATTTCATATTTCTCTTTGCGTAAAAAATGTTTATACTGACTATGGGTGAATTGCACATAGGAATTGTCTCCAACATTGCGACTAACATAAGTGTTTATGAAAAAAATTCTTATTTTTTTATGAAAAAAAATTTTTAGGATGTTTCTAGGTTTCGTACTCATGTCCACGAATTTGTTGCCATCGACAAGTTGATTCAACCTTCTGTCGACCTCGCCAGTTTTGGACATGTTAGCAAAATCATGTCTTGGTTAGTTGATAATAAGTTTATATTATCTTTATGTGAAAGATGGCGTCCCGAGACACACACTTTATGGTTTCCAACCGGTGAATGTACTGTAACGTAAGAAGACATGTACATCTTATTAGGGTTGCCTATCGAGGGTAAGGCGGTAAATGGAAAAATCAACTACACAAATTCAATTTGCATGGAACTCTTGGGTGCCGACTTGTTAGATGATAACCTGAGAGGCCAAGGTATATTGCTTTCACGTCTTAAGGTATATTACAACAGTTTAGAGTTAGATGAAAATTCTATCGAAGAAGCTCGAATAATAAAAACTAGGTGTTATATTATGCTTTTAATTGGTTTATTTTTATTTCCCAAAGATAGTGGTTCTAGTATGCATGTTATGTATTTACCTTTATTAAGATATGTAGATAAAATAAGAAGTTATAGTTGAGGATCCACTTGTTTGGCTTATCAGTATAGCTCTCTGTGTAAAAATGCACGCAAAGACACGTCTACATTTTTGGATGCACTGTTTTGCTCCGAGCATAGGGTTGGTCCAGACTACCATCCCTAGCGCTCGTCAACCACAACACGTTCACTTTCCCATACGCACAAAAGTAAGTTTTTAACATTAACTATATTTGCTTACTAGTGTAGCCAGTTGACATATTATGGCAGTCGGTTGCACTCTACTGCAATTGCTTAACTTTGTAAAAAAACTGAGGTCTCTACTGATCATGATTCTTCTGTTTGTTCCATCATACAACTTGTAACTACCGATAGAGTGATACCTTACAAGTATCATTTGTTCTTCCTTTCCATCTAGCTTCTTTCTAAACTGATATGTAACATGTCTATACACAACCAAGTCAAATACCTTCAAGCGACTCAGATTTAGCTTGAATTCGAACGAAGATTCTTTTAGTGTGATCTTCTCAAGCTTCTTTGTTGCCAATTCAATAAATCTTTTGGCAAGTGCTTTCATTTCAACATGCTTCTCACCATGTTCATGATCGATCAATTCTTCCTTTCAGCAACACCATTTTGATGTAGTGTATAACACGACACTACCTCGTGTACAATACCATCATGATCGTAAAACTTACCATAATCATTTAAGACATGTTCTCCCCCACCATCCGTTTTGAGAACTTTTATTTAGTAACCTCTTTGTCTTTCAACCATGGAATTGAACTTCTTGAACACCTCAGGTACCTCATCCATTATCTTGATTAGGTACGTCCATAGTTTTCCACTATGGTCTTCAATGAAGGTGACGAAATATTTATTACCATCAATAGAATCAACTTGTATCGGTCTACACACATCCAAATACATAACCTCAAGGTGACACTTAGTTCCAAACCTGCATCCTTGCCAAATTTTCCCTTATGTTGCTTCACTTACACACATAATTCACAAATTTCATCTGGTATGTTGATTAATAGCCTCCCCTTCACCATTCCATTCTTTTGCAAGGCATTGAGACCTCAGAAATTAAGATGCCCAAGCCTATAGTGCCATATCCACACTTCTTGACTAGTTGTTATAGCAAGATACCTATGCTCCATAACCTTCAACACAACTCTGAAAGTTCTATTGGGAGTCATATGACTTTTTAGGACCAAAACCTTGTTTGCGTCCATAACGTGTAGCGCCTTGTTCTCTATATGAATATTGCAATCCTTCTCAAGTAATTGGCCAATGCTTACAAGATTACACTTTACTCCAGGGAAAAACAACACATCTTTTATCAAAGAATGTCTAACATCCCTTTTCTCGATCGATAAATCACCGATCCTTTCCGACACTAGAGTGATATAATCCATGAACTTAATTTTGTTCTTCATGGCATGATTGATTGTAACAAACCAATCTTTCATCCCTGTCATATACATTGAGCATCCAGAGTCCAAATATCATTTATCGTTGCACTGCATTGCTTCTTTCAAAGTCACCATGGCATTTTCTTCAGTATGTAACCGGTTGGCATAAAATAACAACTATTATACTTTAGTTCTGCAGTGTTTTCCAAAATGTTGTCTTACAACCTATTGTTGTTGCATTCTTCTTCTGTGGTCGTGATCAAGAGTGTGTTCTTATAATTAAACTCTTGTCTTGCAAATCTAGCTTCATTTTCTTGACGTTCTTTCTTGTTGGCATTTCACTCCTTACAAAATGACCAATCTTTAGACAATTATAGCACTGCACACTGCTCTTGTCAACCATCATTCTTCCTCTTTTACTTCTTAGATTACCTCCTTTCGAGTTGTTTGATTCAGCGGCCCTATTGCCACTGTTTTTACCTTTTTGGAGTGTTGAATTCTTGGAATTTTGGGACTCTCTTCCACCCAAATTCCGAAAGTTCCCTCTACCTTTGTTCATGGGCCACTTTCCCTTCGCTTTCTTGTCTCTCTCATTGAAACGAACTTGCAAAGAGATCTTTGCCTTTGGCCTCATCAACATTCCTTTCCTCCATTCTTTGCTCATGTGCTTCAAGAGAGATTTGCAACTCCTATTTGCTCGTCGACGCAAGATCCTTCACCACGTTGTTAAATCTTGGCGTCAAAGAACACAATATTTTCGCGGCAATATACTGCTCCGTGATTTCTCTCCAAACATTTTTACTTGGTTTACAAATTGAGTAATTCTCGTTGTAAAATCGTTGATGGTGTATTTTTCCTCCATTTGAATCAACTCAAGCTGTCTTTTGTGAGTTTGTAATCTCACAACCTTCACATTTTTAGCCCCTGCATACGCTTTCTCCAAGATTTCCCACACTTCCTTCGATTATTCACAATTATCAACTTTCTCCAAATTATCCACATCAACACGTTGATGGATAAAAAATAATGCATTGCAATCGTTCACTTTCTCCTCCTTATGATTAGACTGTTGTGCATTTTTTGCACCTTCTACAAGTGTTGTTACCCCGTTCTTGTTCCCTTCAAAAACATCTTAATAGCCAAAGCACCTTCATTTATTTCCACCACTTGTCATAATTTTGTGCATCGAGAATTAGAAGATTTGCATGGATTCGTTCATTGAAAACATAGGTCATTTTCACACACTATGTGTTTGATGGATCAAACCAGACTCTTGATGTCAAATGTTGAAACATGAACTATAAGGTTGATCAATAAATGAGTATGGAGAGTGAGAGAGTGAGAAAGAGCAATTAAGGGTGAAAATATGTGTATTTATTCATTCGTAAGATACTTAAAAGATATATATACAACAATACAAGATGGAGTACAGTTATCAAATAAAACAAGAACTCTCAGATGTAATCCATTAACATATTATGTCAATCGGTTGCATTTAGCTACTGACTCAATTTTTAACTAAAATGTTTCATGTATAACCAATTAGCATAAAAGTACAACCGATTATATACATGTGAATTAATTTTTTTTTCTTTTAACAATTTTTTTCTTAACTTAAAAACAACTCTAATAAAATCGTGATTATTTAACCTAATTGTTCTATTTTTTTTCTCTCCATTATATGTATACTATATTTGTCCTTTTAAGTATAAAATCTCTTAGTAAAACTTGGATGACTAAAAAGTTGGTAATAATTTTAAATATGTTGATAATTAATATTATTTTTATATATAAAAAAAATCTTTTGAAAAAAAATTGATTTATGTTTTTGTGCTTTTATTTATTGTGGATCGTAAAAAAGTGATGTTAAACAAAAAGAGTTGTGTAAAAAATGATGTAACACAAAAAGTGATATGTAAAAAATGATAGGTTAAGACTATTATAAATCAATATGAAAACGAGAAAATATAAAATAAAATACAGGTGAGCTAAGTATAAAGTAGGTAGTAGTTAGTTAGTTGTAGTAAATGCATTGATATTTCATCAACTAACTACCACTTCCAAGCAAATTAGGCAAGAGATTAAATAAGATAGGCTAGGTTAATATAAATTTATCCAACATTATTTTTAAATAGTTTAATAGCTGAAATTTATTTTTTAAAGTGAATAAGTAGAATGTCACGAGTTCGACTCTGCATCATTTTTATCTCATATGTTTGTATAATCATTTAACAAGACAACCACTATTCAGTTTAAATTTATTTGATTGATTATTGATGAATTAATATTTATTAAAAATATACAAAATTTTCAAATTTCTTTAAGTTATATTAGAAAATCAATAGTCACTCTATTATACACGTATTGCTCTATTAATATGAATTATAAACAAAATTAGTTTGTATTTATTAGAACAAACTATAAGTATAAATAACTTGTCTCATATTTGATTACACTTTCTCTAAAATAAATCTTATTTAATATCGCTTTTGTATTCTCGACTAACAAATTTATTAATTATTAGAAATGATTTAGATCATTTATTTTAAAATAGAGAGAGTAATTCACAATACTTTCATATGTGCATCAACAATTATTTTTTCTTTTAAAAGAGTTATAATTAGACAGATTATAATGAAGAACTAACTCTCTTGCTATACTTAATGAATATAAGTTGTTTTAAACAAAAACCAACTTAAGAAGTAATTGGTTGTTGCAATGTTAATTTTCTATATTATACTCTATTTGTATTAATAGATTAATAATTTTAGTTATATTATACAACAATCGCAAAATATATGTCCCGAGTTCAAATTCACATTTGTCGGTCGACTTTCACATTTCAGCCAACTTATCTGATCGCAAAATATATGTCGTGAGTTCAAATTCACATTTGTCGGTCGACTTTCACATTTCAACTGACTTATCTGACTTATTAGGACACCACAATATGTATATTACTAATTACTAGGACTCATTGGGAGACCACAATAGCATATGTATGTTACTTATTTATTACTAGTATCAATTATTATATGGATTATGAGGCTAAAGGGTTAGTTGTCCTACTCCTAACCATATGACATTAATGCATACATGGCCTCATCTTCTACTAACCATACCTCACATTAATCTTTCCTTCATCTTAAATTCTCCATTTTTCTATCCAATTTTCTGGCTCTGAGGAACTACCAAAACACACAAACATTGCACACAATCTTCCCCAATTCAGGTTATTCCAATTCCCCTTTTCTTCTTATTTCCCAATCGTTCCTAATCGTTACCAAAATTTCTGGGTACGCTTGAAAACCCTCATTCGCGATGACCCACATTTATTGTTATCATCGAAATCCGATTTTCTTCATTAAAGTTTATATCTTTTGCTAGTTTACTCAATCCTACTGTTACTTCCTTACAAAAGCTTGGAACTTGCCATGTGGGGTTTTTTCTGACTCTCTGATTGAATCTATTTTTGTGATTTTTTTGTTTTGTTTTAGGTTTTAGTTCTATTGAATCTTGCATATGATATTTCAGTGAAGTGTGTTAGTGGGTATATTTTGGTTTCAAAGATGAAGGTCACTTTGGTTTCTAGAAGTGGAAGAGAAATTGTTAAAGGTGGCATTGAGCTTGGTGATTCTGTATGTTTTTTTCTAAATCTCTTAACTTTTTTTTGTGTTTATTTTTGTCATAAAAAGGTAGTTTTTATTTCTTAGGTTGATTTGATGTATACAGGAAAGAGATTTTACATATAGAATTTGGAATTCCTTTCAGATGGGAAGTGATAGATTTATTTTCTAAAGTACTGATCTATGATTTGTGTAATTGTTTCTTCGCCACAGGCTACGGTTGCAGATCTGCAGGAGGCGATTCACAAACAAAGTAAGTCGTAACATGTCTTGTTTGTATGTATATGTATATGTATATGTATGTCTCTAGGCTGCATTGGATTTCAGTTCATAACTTATTAACGTAATTCGTATGTTTCACTTTTGACAGTTAAGAAGCATCCATCGAGGCAGCGCCTGACACTTCCTGTCCAACCAGGATCAAAGGAAAAGCCGGTTGTTCTTAACTATAAAAAGAGTTTGAACGACTATACGAATGGAAATTCAGAAACCTTAACCGTACAATTCAAGGACTTAGGTCCACAAGTTTCTTACCGTACACTTTTCTTCTTCGAGTATTTGGGGCCGCTGCTTCTCTATCCAATCTTCTACTACTACCCTGCTGTCTACCAGTATTTCGGATACAAAGACGAACATGTTATCCACCACCCCGTGCAAACATACGCCATGTACTATTGGTGTTTCCATTATGCCAAACGAATTCTGGAAACGTTTTTTGTGCATCGCTTCAGCCACGCAACCTCGCCGCTTTCCAATGTTTTCCGCAACTGTGCTTATTACTGGACTTTCGGCTGTTACATCGCTTACTATGTGAACCATCCACTCTATACACCTGTGAGTGACCTTCAAATGAAGATCGGGTTTGGGTTCGGGATACTTTGTCAAGTTTCGAATTTCTATTGCCATATTATACTGAGGAGTCTTCGCGGACCTAATGGAGAAGGTGGATACCAAATCCCACGCGGCTTTCTTTTCAATATTGTTACTTGTGCAAATTATACAACAGAGATCTACCAGTGGTTGGGCTTCAACATTGCTACACAAACCATTGCTGGTTACGTATTTGTTGCGGTTGCCACTTTCATCATGACCAACTGGGCTCTCGCAAAGCACAGGCGCTTGAAGAAGGTTTGTTGTCTCTCCTTATCATTTTTTGCATTCTTTGCGTCGTATAATTGTGAATCATGCGGCTTATCTTTGGTGTACTTGCAGTTGTTTGACGGAAAAGAAGGGAGACCGAGGTATCCTCGTCGATGGGTGATATTGCCTCCGTTCCTATAGGAGCCTAAGCCGACGCATATGATTATGAAGTCATCACTCTGTGGCTCACAAGGATTCTGAGATTTAGAATCATAGCATAATGAAGTTTTAGTTAATTATTCACATTTTATTAAGTATGAATTTGTGTTTCAATGTTTTAGCTATGAAGTTGATTTACAAGTTATTAAGGTTGTTTGTGTTGGATGTTTGTAAGCCTTTCTGGTTTATGGTATTGAGGAATCTTGTTTCTTAAGAACTTCATCTTGTGTTGATTATATTTGATGTTTCTATTGTATGCTATATCTCATTTTCATAATGAAACTTGTGGTCTTTTTGAACAATATTGAAATTAATTTATTTTTCAATAATCTATTTTTCTTTCTTTAACGAATGTTTAAGAATATTTAAATTAGTTTATAATTAATATAGCACTAAATTTTAAAACCCACAAGAAAATAAGAGCAATGAATTCTATAAATACGACAAATAATAAGAAAAGAAGGCAGAAATATCATGAAAAGATATTTTCTAATCATAAAATTAATACATTCTAATAAGTAATGGAGATACAATGGCCACTATGAAAAGATTTACTACATGCAATGACCACTATCAAAAGATTTACTACATGTAATGACCACTGAGATTTATTATATCGTGGTTGAGGTTTCTTGGTGTAGTATAAGTGTAAGGTTTGCATTTCAATAATCAAGTTAGTGTTTGAAAAAGATAAAACGAAGAATAATATTTTTGTTGTAAGGTTAGTATTTCAATAGCATTGTTAATAAATACAATTAATTCAAAAATAGTTTGAAATTCGATTCGACAATCAAATGAGTTGAATATGAGCGAAAAACTATGTTCGTTAACTAAATGAGTTGAACTTGAACTATACATGGCTCGACTCGTTAAATTCATGAGTCAACTCGATTATATATGAGAATGATTATATTATCTTTAAGAGTATGTTTAAAGATTTACTCTAAATTTTAATCTTATATTGTCTCTTATGTACTAGTTATGAAAATAAAGATGACAATTGCGTTTAGAGTCGATCTTGTTGGAGACATTATAATATTGGATAAAATAACATTGTAATTTTTTAGTATTTTTTTGTACTATTTCATTAAGTTTGTAAGTTTCCTAAATATTTGATGAAGTTATGGGTTTTTTTAGATAAATTTAAACTTCAATTGAGTGTTTTTTGAATTAGACTTTCAAATGTGTCTCTTGAAAATTATGTAGTTTTTGAATTAGTAGTTTTTGAAAATTATGTAGTTATGGGATTCTAATAGACTTTCTGGACTCCTCCTTTATCACTAGTCTTAGTGCCCCTAAATTCTATAAAAAAAAATTTTTTGGGCTCTGAGGCTTTCTTAGTCTTTCTGCTAGTATATACCAATACCGATCCTCTTGCAGAAAAGAAAAAAAGTTATTCTTAGTCTTTCTGCTAGCGAGCCATTTGCAGTGACGGGTTACATACAAGTAAAGATCTCTGCTAGTTACATCAATCCAGCTTTCTCTTGTCCATCCCTGCCCTTTACCTTAGGTTTGCGTTCTAGTTCTTGTAGTTTATGGAAGCTTTTTTACATACCATGCAGTGCAGCTGGAATAGCAGTTGAAGTTTCCTCTTTTTATTTATAAGCGGTGTAAGCCTCTTAAGGAGTAGGTCTTTCCCCTACAGTGTCAGTGACAGTTTATAGTTCTCCAATTTCAATGGCAGTGTCAAAAAAAAGTTATTTCCAGTGACTTCCTTCCTCGTGACGAGCTTGGCACAGGCTTCGAATGAAAGCAACCCAAGGTCTGCCCTTTTGATAGTCCTAATGATTCTATCGGAGGTGACAACAATAAGGAGAGGATAAAAACTTACTTTTCTTATTATGATGCCTCCCCCTTTTTTTTGACCAAATCATTCTTCATCGCATAAGCACATGACAAGTCATTTCAAAATTGGAAGTTTTCCTATTTATATAAAAGATCATATGGTAGGCCACAAATTGGGAGAATTTGAACCTATTTTTCTCTATTTAGTGATCTCTAAGCTAGTGTGGCAGGCTGCTTTTATGGTTTTTTCTGCATCCCCATGTCAGAGGATAAAAGACTGAACTAAGTATCAGATCGCCAAAATGGAACAAATGAAAGGTAAAGATCATGTTTCAAATTGGGAGTGGAAGAGTGGGATCTACCAACCATGGACGGAAAGCATAGATATTTGATTTTATTTGTTTATTAGTGAGACAAAGTGGACGATACAGTTATGTCATCCCCAAGTAGAGTGACAAACTAGTTAGTATTGTTGTTGGGAGATCTACGACGACGCATATGATCTTGATAATGGCCATTTGTGTACTAGGGCAAGTAGGTTAACTCTAGGCATACAAGCAACGAAGAGATTTGTGGACCATAACTTATTCGACACTGAGGAGGTAGAGGTGGACACTTTAGAGGAAATGATGATGACGCACATGTTGTGGTGTCTTATCATGATCATGATGATATAAAGGCACATGTCGATGTGTCTGATCCTAATCATGTTGATACAAAGGCACGTCTTGAGGTATCCAATCATACAGTTATGTTTGATAACTATCCAATTGATGATCATCAAAGCAAAGCAACAAATGGGGTTTCAAGAGGGCACCCAGATCTGACAATGTCAGTAGAGTATCGGGATCATGTTGCCTTATGATTAATGAAATGAAAGGCGTAAATACTTTAATTCAATTTGATTTTTTGTATTATTGATTAATTTAAAATAATTAATATTGTATCCATTAATTATGATAAGATCACATTCCATCTATACTCGTTGAAGAACTTTTTAGATGTGCATATGCATGATGAGGTCAGAGTTAGTGGGTGATATTGGATTGCACATTTTTGTGCGATGTTTGTTGATTGTGCTTGGAGCCATTTTGTTATTATTTTTTATGGAACGATGGCATAAGGAGACATCTTCATTCCATCTTCCATTTAAGGAAATAACGATCATCGTGGATGATGTCTCGAGTTTATTCTATCCTCCATTGCAGGTAATTTTTTCTACCCTCTATAGAATAGTATTGAGATGGCTCTTGTGAGTGTGGAGACGTACTTTGGATTTGCACACGGTAACGTTCTAAAAGAGTATAAGTTTAACATGTATGTCATTTTTATTTCTCTTGGATCCATGAGACATACTTTTTATTGATGGAGTTTGTTATGTAGTCAGAGGTCATTAGACTACACATGACACAAGGTACGTATCCTTGGTCATCTACCTTGAATTTTATGTATGAGCTTGGGAATGTTGTGATGTGATGATTCTATATCATGCCTTCGGAGAGGCTAGAAAATCTTAGACGAGACAATTTAATGATTATATGAGTCTTTTTTAGATATATATTATGTACAATTATTAATGTAAAATTGTGTGTTTTTAACTTGAATGTCTTACTCAAGTGGTTATCAAGGGTGATGACGCAGAATTGATGCTCTCACCCTAGATGAAGTGTCTAGACACCATACACTGACCATGGGGTACACCAATAGTTTGGCGACCCTAGGTTTGGAAGAGTTTAATGATTGCTTATCTTCTTGAGAGGTGTCTCTACCATCTTGGTTAGGTGTAAGACATACCACGATCAGTCTTTGTTATGCCATGTAGCGTTAATGGATGGTTTTGTACTAACATGATGAATAGTCGCTTTGATTAGACAAAATTCAATTGATGGGACTCTTCTTGAGAATTATTTTGATGGGTACTTAGAGTGGTACTATAGAGAATGGCATCCTCTTATTATCCCTTCTATTTCAGTTGACCATTTTGATGTTATTGGACCTTTTGATGTTGTTGGACCTCTAATGACATTGCACCACTATCTCGACCATCTGATATGAATTAGCGACATAGGTTGTAGATGATAGCGATTATTTATGATAACCTCATGGATTGAATAAACTCAATTTGCGAGACGTATCATTTATGATAACCTCATGGATTGAATAAACTCAATTTGCGAGATGTATCCTTTATCATTGTGGATTGCACACATTGCACGTGTTTGGCTGCTATATGTATTAGTTGTTGTGGTTGTATGACTTTCTCTTGTTTCATGACTTGTTGTTTCATGACTTTTTGGTGTTGTATATATCCTTGATCATGAATCACTATTGTATTATTAATTGGACATTATCCTCTACTTGTTCACAACATTATCGTCTACTTGTTCATAACTTATTGTTACTTAATCTCAACATAAACTTAACAACACCTTCACATGAGATAACATGACATAAACTTTACAAAATCTAGACATAACATAATATAAACTTAAGAATTTTTTTTTAAAGTAGCAATGTATTAATTTTTATTTACCAAACAAATTAACATTTCAAAAAAAATACCAAAATGGCAATGTTTGGAAAACCATCAACAGACGTTCGCCAATTGGTTTGGCGAATTAGGCTAACAGCATCACAAGTGATTCGCCATTTGGTTTGGCGAAAGGGAGTATTTTGTGGGATTTCGCCAATTGACTTGGCGAATGAGAGTTATTTTAGGGTTTCTTGCATTTTCAATTTCCTTTTAATTATTATATAACATATTTTCGTTTTCATATTTTAAAATTTAATTGTTTTTTAATTTTAATTATTATTATTATTAACCATAAAATATATTAATTTATAATATAATGAATATTAATATAATTAAAATATATTCGTAAACATAAAGTGATAATAAAATAAAATTATATTAATTTATAATGTAATTAAAAATACACGAACAAAAATATAAATATAATGAAAATTACAAAAAAAAAAACCTAATGATCGGCTCTATCCAAGTGACCACCGGTGCCACACTGTGGGGGACGCGTGTTGCGACGAGGTCTTCGACGATGTTGTTGTGGTGTGTCAGGATGTTGTGTGTTGAGTTGTGGTGGAGGGTTCTGTTGGGACGGCCCCGGCGTATCAGCTAGATCTTGTATCATTTGACCCCAATAGCCGGGAGGTCCCATGTCACATGCACTTCCGTAGTCAAGGGCAATGCCCATGTTTTGGTACGATTGTCGGGGAGGGTGGGTGGAGTATGGACGGTATGGTTGTCCGAAAGTGTACATGGAGTTGGGTTGGTCTAGGTGTGTTGGTTGTTGTGGTGTGTGGTAGTTAAATAGTGGGTGGTTGGAGGTGTAGTTGGAGGGGGTAGGGTCGAATGAGTTTTCCGGGATATAGGTGGCAGGGGTAGGATCAAAAGACATATCAGGGCTGTACTGGTGAGTTGGTTGAGATTGAGATTGGATTGGTGGCATGTAAGGTGGTTGTTGTTGATAGGGGGTATATGTTGGCATGGAGTGGGGGGTGTCTTCGTATGGTGGTTGTTGTTGATGGTCTTCGTACGGTGGTTGTTGTTGATGGGGGGTGTCTGTTGGTATTTGTGGGTATGATGAAGAACCGCGTTCCCTTGGATCGAACAAGTAGGTTGGCTGGGACAGGAAAGGCTGGGTTGTCGTGACAGAACTAAACCAAGTCATATATTGAAGACTTGGCCTAGCCCCGTGCACAATACTGTCGGTTAAGACGTATTGCCTTCTTCTTTTCCAAAGTACACGCAACTCCTTTGCAAACTCCTTCCAATCACCAATCATCCACTGTGCGTCCACCCGTTTTTGATGCCACTTCCCCAAGTCTACGGGAGCATCTGGAATATCTTGATGCATCCCAAATTGGAGTTTGACCCGATCACTTTGGTGCATCTCCACCGTAGTGAACCTAATTATAGGTGTCTTTGCTGTCCACACAGCGGCATCGTCGGGGTTGGGCTGGTGGTCGAGACCCTCGTACGACATCCAGACAAACTACAATATAGTTATAAAATTTAGTTAGACAGGATGTCTGAAGTTTATGCATATACATTAAAGAAAATTAGGGTAAATAGGTTACATCGTTTGGCCCAAGGTGGTCGATTAGGTTGCGGTATTGAATTATAGAGTGCCTTGGACATTTCTCATAATTCATCCCGGGTACAGACCACCTAAAAAAACAAACACAAGTTATAAAGTATTAACTGAAATAGAATACGTAGCTGGCAAATAATGTTGAAAAGATACTTACTTTTTTGCGTAGGGGAAAGTAAAAGAATTTCTGTTTATTGGAGCAAGCAGTGGCATCCTCGACCAACCCCAAGCTTGCAAAAGATAGGCACAACCATAAAAAGTACAAGTATTTTTTTTGGACGTCTTACAAAGTGCGCTATATAGATGGGCGAGGACTGCTGATCCCCAGCTATATTCACACACTTTGTTGATATTACGCAATAATGGTAAATACATGGTATGAATTGTATTTCCAGTGCCGTCTGGAAATAAAAAGTGGCCAAATAAAATCATAATATAGCACCGAGTTTTTTGTATTTTCTCATACTCGGTGCTCTCATCCGTTAAAACAATACCGTTGTATTGTTCTCTCAGGTATTTTAAGTTAATACCCTGACCCCTCGGGCGGCCCTTGCTTCCTGCCTGAGGTCCGTCCTCACAAAGAGGGGCGCCCAATAAATCTTCACAAAGTTGGTCAGGGACACCAACTTTGCCGTTGACGGCCTTACCATCAATGTGTAGGCCGAGCAACATATAAACAGCACAAAGAAGGGTCGGCCTAACAGCACGCGCATACGAACCGAGATGGATACCTCGGATAAGCTAGTGAGATTGTGTAGTTCGTGTCGGCAACCAGGACACAATCGTACGACGTGTCCAAACGTTGGTCCGAGCAGCAGATCATAGTTTCATTTGTAAACGTGTCCATTTAAATCAAAAGTAACTTTCATTTGATTAAAATCAAATTTCATGCTATTACAGGCAGAGGTAACTGCAAATTTCCTTCTATTACAAGCAGAGTTAACTTTCATAAATTAAACAAACATAACAACAAATTAAAAACATACACCAAAACACCGGAACAGAGCGTCTACGATATCACGACCATCAACTTTATCTCCTTTGGTGTCAACATCATCACAAGGACGCCGGCATCATTTTCCACTTTTCTCCATTCACGAGTAACTCCGTTTCTATCGGTCTTCTCCACCAACCTCTCAATTTTCCTAATCTTTTCTCCTGTAGCAATATCCCCTTCTAGCCAGCGGTTCAGTTCCCTGTGCAAGTGTTCCAACGTCTGCGTATTCCACAGGAGCACCTTCATCGGAGGCTTTGTTGCTGAAAACACCACAAGTGCATTTCTTTTCATTATATCAAACGTTGGAAAAGGTTCCTCCGATGCTGATGACGAAGAAGAAGAACGTTGATTCAGAAATGCAGACATTATGGACTCCGCTCAACTCAAACCGCACTACCGCTTTAGTCTTTTAGGAAATAATGTTGTGAAAAAAACTTGTGTTTGAGCTCGTATTTATAGCCAAAAAAAATGATAACTACAAAACAATAAGTTAGTGCGCAAATACATCACAACAAGTGAAAATAAAATGCAAAAAAATGTAAAAACATATTATACCAAGGTGAAATGTGCATTTGATGACAAAGTAATTACCACTGGGGTGGCTATACATCCATTGATGAATGTCACCCCAAAAATATATATGGAAAGTTTAAAACCCTAGCTGGGCGATTTAACAAGCAACCCAATTTACTTTAAATTTATAATTTCATAAAATAATTTAAACTTTTAAACTTAATTTTTTTAATATTATAGATGACATTAAAAATTATATTATAAATTAATATTAATATTAATTATATAAATATTAATTAGATTATAAATTTATATTTTTTATTGTTAATAATAATAATAACTTAAATCAAAAAAGTATGAAAACGAAAACCCTAATAACCAATTCGCCAATTGGTGTGGCGAATGGCCACAAAATACACTCTGTCGCCAATTAGTTTGTTCGTGTATTTTTAATTACATTATAAATTAATATAATTTTATTTTATTATCACTTTATGTTTACGAATATATTTTAATTATATTAATATTCATTATATTATAAATTAATATATTTTATGGTTAATAATAATAATAATAATAATTAAAATTAAAAAACAATTAAATTTTAAAATATGAAAACGAAAATATGTTATATAATAATTAAAAGGAAATTGAAAATGCAAGAAACCCTAAAATAACTCTCATTCGCCAAGTCAATTGGCGAAATCCCACAAAATACTCCCTTTCGCCAAACCAAATGGCGAATCACTTGTGATGCTGTTAGCCTAATTCGTCAAACCAATTGGCGAACTTGATGGTTTTCCAAACATTGTCATTTTGGTATTTTTTTTGAAATGTTAATTTGTTTGGTAAATAAAAATTAATACATTGCTACTTTAAAAAAAAATTCTAAACTTAACATCTAAACATAATAAAATTTAGACATAACATAAACTTGACATAAATCTAAAATAATATATACGTGTCACATCCACCTCGATATGATATTTAGTTTCATAACGCATCAAAACAAACCTATTTATATAAATTTCAAACTATTGTCAATCATATCTGTACAGTCTCAATCTTCCATTAAAATAGCATTAATGAAAAGGAAATAAATTTTCCTGCCGGATTTTCTTACAAGACGAATATTATGTCAAAACACAATCAATAATTTCTTAAACCCAGTTCAAAATATTGTTTTAAAAAGTGTGCCGTTGATTGAATAAAAAAAAAAAGATGGTTCACACTAGAAGATTACTTGACGGTATGATTTGCTTAAACAGCTGGCAGCAGCAAGTTTGGTGCAAGCATGAGGCATCATGCAAGTCGGAAGGTTCAGAAGAGATTTCACCGTTTAGAACAGATTTTATTTTCAAACGAAAATCTTCCAACCATGCCAATCGGACCCCCAAATGTTCATATAATTAAATCTTCTAATGATAAATAAAAATACATGACAAAGCAAAATTTTGAAACTCAAATAAAGATACTGCAACCAGAATCATAAAGCTTTGCAAGAGCAAAGCTTATTTGATGCTGACAGGTCAGTCACCTCTGAATTATAACTAAACCGAACTACAAGATTTTCCCTCGCTTTGAGGCATGGAAAAACAATCCTGTCTCGAACTATCATTGTGAACTATTCGTATTTCGATCAAACTATTAGTGCGATCTAATTGCCATCAAACACAATGGATTGTTTGATATGTTTATAGTAATAGTAAGTTTCAACAATTTGTATGCAATGTTTTTAACATCTTCATAATGATTGCTATATAAAGCTATAGATAAAATCACATGCAATTAATTTATAAATACTGCGTGTTGAAGGTGAAGCAAAATTTCACACAAAATATAGAAGTCCCCAACAACAAGCCATCTAAGTCAGTCCCTCCAACATATAAAATGAACAGATACAAAAAGACAATGCCTGCCTGAAAATTGCTATCATCAAGTCCTAGTTAGATCAGATGATGATGGTACCAAGAATCCCCCTATTCGCTTTTCACATCATCTGTAAATCGATAAATATTGGTATGCTTCTAGCAAACACAAATAGCAGAAACATACAGTTAGTGGCCTTGCGCATATTAGACAGACATTCAACACACGAGACAAATGCTAACCCATTAGAAAACATTTCTCATCATCTACGCATTCCTCGTCCACGACCACGGAAACCACCTCCGCGACCTCTGCCTCCCATGGCACTTGCGGCAGCCTCTCCTTGTGCACTCTCAGACTACATAAATTTAATAAATAAAAACAAACCAAAATCAGAGCCATATCTTCATATTTGGTGGGTTGTACAGTAAAAATTATTCAAAACTAACGAGCTAGAACTAGTATAAAATGAAAGCAAATTATTCAATCAACATAAAAAATGGTTCACAACAACATAATTCTGCTAATCAATGTAAAGTTTTAAATTGACATGGTGAGACCTAACTAGAATCGTTGAAACAAATATGTTTACAGTATCCTTATATATGCACTAGACATGCACTAAAAAATGTTTACAGTATGTTTATATATGCACTAGACATGCACTAAAAAATGTTTACAGTATGTTTATATATGCACTAAACATGCAACAACTAATTAGGTTAACATACAGATTTCTTCAATTTTACAACGTATACAATTGAATGAAATTTTAATAAAACTGAAGTGTTTTTCATTAAAATCACCCGGATCATTTGAATATATAATCTTAGTGAGAAACATGAAAACTATTAATAAAATTACATAGTGTTAATATTAAAGTAAACAGGAAAGTATCAGATACACAGTCTTGGTACAGTTACTTCATTTATATAATATGAAAATAGTTGCTTCAATGATAAAGCAGGAAAGTATCAGATACACGGTCTTGGTACAGTTACTTCATTTATATTAATATGAAAATAGTTGCTTCAATGATTAAGAAGGTAAACACAGAGGGATGCAATAACTTCGATAAACAAATAACTCAGTTGTCTCACATAAAGTAACTTAATAGTTATTTTATAGAAGGAATAAGGGTAAATTGAGACAAGGAAAAATATCATTCCAGAAATAACATTTCACACGACTTTAAAATGAGATTGTTATTCCTTCATCTAAAGAAACCTGGGGAGAAATAGATATGTCATTCTATCTTCTCTCTTAACTTAGGAGTGCTGATCCGCATAGAGTAAGGGACTAACTACCGTTACCATACCATAAATATGTTATTTGGCAGTGAGAATGATATGGTTACGGATTAAAACAAATTTGCATGAACAAAGTACTGTGACAACGAAGTACTCTACATTTGATGCCAAAAAACATAAACACAATGTTTAAAAGAAAACCAAAAAAAATAGAGACCAATTGGATTGCATGTGAATTATGCAGGAAAGAATTGAGCCAAACATGAAACAGAATTAAAATGAAATTTGAATATACCATAAATCATTTAAGTCCTTCAAATTTGATAGTCATTGGTAAATATAAATGATAGAAATGGTCAGATATCTATTTACCTTGGGATTTTTAACTGTTTCATCCACACTTAAAACAAGGCAGGCTGCCTCCGTGGCGGCATTTATAGCATTGATCTGCAAGTGTACTAACTTAGTTAGACACCCCATAGAACAATAGAATTAAATAAAACAAAACAATGAAGGGTGTTTACCTTCACAACTGCAGGCTCCCAGACAAAGTTGGCAAATGAATCAGCAATTCCACCGGTGGCTATGTCGACCCCAAACGGTGCTCCCTCACCTTAAACAAGCAAGTAAAAATAAGATTTTTAATTTCTGACCCATCAGAAGAACTCTACAAAGTTTAATATGTAAAAAATGCATTTACAGGTACATTTCAACACACAGGCACAAATGAATTCAAGGCCAGAGAATCTATAAGTTAGACAAATTTTCTCATCTACAAACTTGAAGCCACCCCCAAATGCAAAGGACATTAAGAGAACACGCTTGCAAAGAAATATACTAAATATGACACCACATACTAAATCCGGGTTACATTATTGTTTAACAAATGTGGTTTTGCTTCTAAGCAGGGGTTTGAATGAATAAATGGTTTGTAATTTAATGAGGCCAAGAAGCTATGTAAAAACTTGGTTTGCTTATTGTTGGTAAAAGAAAGCCCTTGAATAAATTTTCTATACTGATAAGGTGAAGCAATGGTTAAAAGGAAATAGATACAGTGGTTAATCTAACCGACATACACTTGCTAGCATCTTATTTCTGCTCATGCAAAACAATTAACAAATACTTCAAAACAACTGTCTGGCACTCTGGCTAAGTCTTTCTCCTTATACTTTGAATAAGATGCTTGAAATAAACAATAATTGTGTATGTGTGTTGTTGTAAATATGCACATTATTTTATATTAATCACAAGTGCTTGAGCTCAGTTCACATTTAAAATGGACCAAGCCAAGCTTTAACATATTATAAGATCCAGCTTGAATTTGTATTCAATTGAACAGCACTAATAATCTAATATTCAGCTAGGCTTGGCTCAATTGCAGCCCTACTTAGCCCTTTATCTTCAGGCAAGTATATTTAAGCAATCGTGCACATAAAACAAAGGTCAACCAACCAGAAGCAAGTGCGTGTTTCTGTCTTAGTTTGTTCAGCACATCAGTTGCATCAAATCCAGCATTGTCACATAATTGCCGAGGAATAACCTGCAATAACACCATAAATTTGTCAACATCAAAATACAATTAAGCAACTGTGCATGTTTAACAAGATACTCAGCAAAGTGATTTCAAGATGAGCTGATCAACAAATGGAAAAAGTATATCTTGCAAAACTACTGCATTCTCACTGGCCTTTGATAGAAAATACAGAAATTAAAGCCTCAGATCCAATGAGTGGATACTGTGTTCAAAATCACAAGGCATTAAATGCAGCGAATTTCGGGTTAAATAGCAACAAGAAACACAAAATGGGCAACACAACGATGCAATATTAGAGCAAAAAGTGTTGTCAATTGCAGATTACAAAAAATAGTGGTTTGTTCCAATTTTTGTTTGTACTGTGGATAACAGACAATAGCGGTTTGTTCAAAATCTAATATGATATAATGCAATAGCTTTTATTTGACAACACCAAAAGTATATGATTAACAGTTTCAGATGAAGATAAAATAGATATATGAAAATTTTCCAGAATGATGCCGGGTTTGTTAGGTACTGAAGAACAACCAAACATTTATTTTTAATGACGTTAATATTTGAGTAAATATTTGCAAAGAAAGACAATGCTGTTCTTATCCTGTTAGTTTGAACTATAGACCACTTGTGTCAAACAGGTGCTGAATCCCATTACATTCAAAGCTATGTTTCTAAAATGTAAACCAATACCACTATAGACTGCTTTTAATCTTCGAACACTTACCTCAAGAGCTTTGGCATAGGAGTTGATGAAAAGCTGAGACTTCCCAGCTATTGTGCGTGCATGCTGCCTTAGGTACCGGCTTATTTCCATCTGTCAACAATAACAACCCTAACTTTATTATTTAACAGTCACTATCACTATACAATGAGATGTAAAACAAATTTTTGACTAGACATACATCTATAGCCCCTCCACCGGCAACTACAGTTGAATTTTTCATAGCCCTTCTAACAATCATGATTGCATCATGCAAACTTCGCTCTGCTTCCTCTATGAACTGTGAAAAAAATAGCAAAAATCAAATATATGCCCAGAATGGCAGATCCTATTGTGTATAATTACAAGCTACATGACACTAATTTCATCACATGCAACAGACCTGATCGGCTCCACCACGAAGAACTATGGTGGCTGTTTGGCCAGATGGACATCCATTGAAAATGTTGAACCTTTCATTTCCTACTTGCTTTTCCTCAAAAGTCTCACAAGTTCCAAGAACCTTCAAGCAAATACATAAAAAGGAATTTTGGGCTTTCAGCAGCAACACATTAATTACAAAATATGCAACCATGCAAAATTCTACACAAACAATACACAACCTCATCAATAATGTTATTAACAGATGTTTGTACAGTTCCCCCAGTTGCAGCAGCAACTCTCTTAAGATCTTCTTCTGCTACACGACCAGCACAAAAAATGTCTCTATCTGCAAAATACTGTAACAGGGGCAAGTTATTACTAAGGATGTCAAGATACGCTTATACTATGAAAATAAGAGCTAATACAAACAAAGCTAGATACAAAAAAATAATTAATAAAAAATTAGAAGCTCACAGTTATTAGTTATATATGAGTCAAAGTATATCATGCCCCACAACACTGTCCCATAACAGGATAGCACACATCAAATTTTGTATGCTACTCATTAAATAGGTTCACATGTTGTGGAGAGCTGAGTGGCATAAAACTTTAAATAATAATGAATAAATAGTTCTATTAAAAATGACAATTAAAACCTGTGTAGCCAAATCACCAATAGCAAGGCGTGAGAGAACAACTTTGGCACCACTTTGAACACATCGATCCAGTTTGTCATAAATAATATTCCATTCTGCATCAACAATTGATTGATATTGTGATGGATCTGATAATCTGTAGAAAACATAAGTAAAGAGGAAAAGTCACATTACTAAGCAACTCTTTATTAGAGCCTCGATATCAATAGACACAAAACAAACAAAACATTTTAAATATTCACACCTTATTTCAGCGTTTTCTTTCTCAGACTTCAGCTCTAACTCAACATTAAGTAATAGTATTTTAGGATCGTGAAACTTCTTGGGCTGCTGCTCAAATCCAGCATATGAAAATGTCTTTTTGAAGGCAACGCCATTGACAAGAAATGAGTCACGCATGTTACCTCCAGGAACCTGCAGAAGAAAACCTGAATATTTATAACACCATTTCCACACACAAAAATGCTTAAATGGTACAAGAACAGTGTGGAATCATTTGTATAACAATTATATGGCATTACACTATATAAATCGACCAGCTTTCATCAAATGCAAGGAGCATGTGTTAAAATGATATCTACTACAATAAACCTAACAAGATAACCTAACACTGACTAATGAAGTTTTTAATAACAATGTATAAAACTCCACGTGATGAACATCTTCCTCCAGAGTGCCAAATTATATAGGAAAGAAGGTTGTAAAATAAGCATTTACCTTCTTTATTCCAATCATATTTAACCTATCATCAGTCCCAATCGCAACTACAGCATCAACAACCATGGATGCAAAGAACTCCTTCTCCCCTCCTATAAGCTTTGAAGAAAGTGTTGTAGCAGCACACTTTCCTAGCAAATTTTTCTTCTCTTCCAGACTTTTTCCCTCAATACTAACAGCTAGCTCTTTGATCTTCTCAATTGCCTGCAAAAATTATCACACATGAAAAAATAAATGTAACAAATCAAAAACCCAACTTTACAAATAGAATTTAATTGCAGGAAAAATATAAAAAATAAATATTTGAAATATAACTGCATACCAAGTTACATGCAGTCCTGTAGCTTCGTATTAAATTTTGAGAGTGAACACCATCTTCAATAAAAGGCTTTGCCTCTCTTAAAAACTCAGCAGCAAGCAATACCACAGTGGTGGTTCCATCGCCAACCTTCACATTCACAACAACAATAACAATACTATAGTTCACTTGCAAACAATCAAACACTTGGGGCTTAATTAAATTGTCTTAACTGAGCTCACCTATTAGCACAAGCACTTGTCCAAATACTTATGAAACAGTTTAGGAAGGCTTACAGTACACCTTATTAAATGTTCATAAGTAGTTTTCAACTTATTTCCATTAATTCTCTAAGGTAGCTAGTTTATGAAAACTGTTAATAGCTTATATTAATAAATTTATGTTTTATTTATCTTTTGTTATAGAAATAAGCACTCATGATAAGTAATCATTTTTTTAAGTTGTTTGACAAAACAGGGCTTAGTTCCACAATTTCAAACATCTAAACAAAACAAGAACAATTACTAAAAATAAAATAAAAAAAAAAGTCATGTTTAAGATAACCAATCTCACAAGAGTCCGAAAAATAAATTAAACACAGTTTCGTTATAAGTTGATGGAAAATGATGAGATTGGAGTTAGTTAGTTAGTAACCTAAGAATCCTGTAACTTGGCAATGTCAAATAGGATTTTAGCAGGGTGATGAACAATGGCATGGGCACTTGTCCCAGCCCTTACGAGACAGTTTGGAAAGACTTACAGTACAACTTATTAAATGTTCATTTCGTAGTTTTCAACTAATTTCGATGTGTTCTCTATCTTAGCTTATATGCAAAAGTTTGTGTTCACTATCTTTTGTTATAGAAATGACTCATAAATAAGCACCGATATGATAGCACTTATCATATAAGCAATTATTTATTTAAGTTGTTTAACAAAACAAAACACAACAAGCACAATTACTAAAATAAAAAACCACGTTTCAGAAACCCGATCTCAGAAGAGAGTCCAATAAACAAATTAAAAAACAGTTTCATTATAAGTGCAATTGATGGAAAATAATGAGATCGGGGTTAGTTAGATAGATACCTCAGAGTCCTGAGATTTAGCAATGTCGACTAGGATTTTAGCAGCGGGATGAACAATATCAAGAAGCTTCATGATAGTGGCGCCGTCGTTTGAGATGGTGACCGCACCTTTATCGTCATGGATGAGTTTGTCCATACCACGAGGACCGAGGGTGGTGCGGACGACATCGGCGACGGCGGTGCAAGCGTTGATGTTACTTACGAGTTGCGGCTTCCCTTGCGATGTGTCTGTGCCTTCTTTCAACAGTATGATCTGAGGTTGCTGTTTTCATAACCGCATTTTCAGAAAAGAGTTAGGTTAAGTTTGGGAGAGATGTAATATAACGAATAACAGAGAGATAAAACGTACCAGCATAGAAGACATGGTTGAAGACGATGATGGAAGAGGAGAAAGAGTGGTAGGGTTTAAGTTTGGAAGAGGAGAAAGAGGTGTTAGGGTCTAGAAGTAGCAGTTTCTGGCTCCTTCGCTTTCGCAGTGTGAATAAGTGAGGGGAACTATGTTCACTGGACAATGGTAGTGGTACCTGTGTCTATTTTGGACCGAAGATTCATTTTCATATTTATTTTAGACCTAAACCCAGAAGCCCAATTTTTTCCCAAAACTTATGTTTACAAAAAAAAATTTACTTCATACCCCCGCAATTATATTTATATTCTACATAATTAAATTTAAAAAAAAATACTCATATATAAATATTAATAATTTCAAAAATTTTACTTTTTTCTCATTTCAACACAGATAAAACGGTTAAAGAAATTTCTTTAATCTTTGACTCTTAGAGAACACAAACAAAACACATCTGATTCCTTTTTTTTCAAACCGGAAAACTTCAAATTAAGTTATCTAGTTCCTTTTTTTTCGATATTCATCATCGGATAACTCGATCTTATGTTATCCGGTTTGTGTTTTTTACACACCGGAACACTTGATGTCAAGTTATCCGATTTGTGTTTTTTACACACCGGAACACTTGAGTACAAGTTATTTGGTTTGCTTTTTGTTCGCACCATATTTCTTTTATTCATGTTATCTGGTTTAGTGTCGTTAACTGACTTTTTTTATAAGTGGCTCACATTAGAGGACGAGACAAACGCATTTTTTGACGATACGGTGATGGAAGGCAACGTTCTTCGAATCAAGAGGAAGATTAAATTGTTATACCTATTCTTATTCCACTGCATCCACCATTTTTTAGAGGACCGTCTTATATGTCACTTTTGGTAAGGTATCAGAACCACGTCGCCCGTCATCTGTGGGACGGCGAAGTAAATCAATCTATGTCCTTTCACATGATCTTCGTCGTTATCTACATTGTCACCAGACGGAAGAGAATGACAATGATTTTGTCACATCTTCCTCTCTTGTCAGTTTTGTTGCCCGAACAGGTTATTATAATAGTGACTTTATTTATGATTCCGACCTCGCTAAACCACCTAGTCGGCTCTTCTCGTGTAGCAAATTTTTCTGCAGTCGAGAATATCTCTGTCATATCTACAGATGTCTAGTTTTATTACATATCATCAAAGGAATGTTCATGTCTCATAACATAAGTAACAAAAATTAATTAAACAATAAAAAAAATTATAAAAAAAACACGTTCCGGAACTCTTAGGGGCAAATTATTTGGTTCTTAAAATATATAAAAATTGGATAGCTTGCATATAAGTTATCCAGTTTGGTAAATGTGAGACATTGGATCGAACTCTAGTGTGGTCGAAGTCTGTTCGCAAGTAATGCGTGTTGTAGTCGAAGTTTGTTCTAACATGCATGAGTAAATATTGCTAAGGTTGTTAGCATGAGTAAATATTGCTAAGGTTGTTAGCATGAGTAAATATTGCTAGCATGAGTAAATATTGCTAAGGTTGTTAGCATGAGTAAATATTGCTAGGGTTGTTAGCATGTGCTATTTTATTATAAATAGGATGCTAGTTTCTCAATCTTAGAATAAGGAAAAATAGGAAGATAAAATCCTAATTTCAAGGGAGAGAGGTTATTTTGTTATTCTTGTATACTTGTAATCTTGTTCTAAGAGAAAGGAAAGAGTAGCAGTTTAATAACCAATCCTTGTTGTTCCTTGTTATTTTACCTTGTCTTCTTTGTTAACCCTAACCCTTGTGTGTTTCTTGATCATTAAGAAACCGTGTATACTTTGTTTAACGGTATCCTATTCACAACAAATTGGTGCGGTGAGCGTGGAGAAGATGCCTTCAACAAAGTATGAGATTGAAAAGTTCACCGGAGTGAACGACTTCGGTCTGTGGCGCTTGAAGATGAAAGCCCTATTGGTTCAGCAGGGTTGTTTGGAAGCGTTGAAGGGTGAGGCAGCCATGGACGCTGCGTTAACGGCAAAAGAAAAGACGGGTATGATCGAGAAAGCCCACAGCGCAATATTATTGAGCCTTGGTGATAAGGTTCTTCGACAGGTATCAAAGGAGACTACAGCATCGGGATTATGGGTGAAACTTGAAAGTTTGTACATGACCAAATCTCTGGTGAATCGACTATACCTGAAGCAAGCTTTATATTCATTCAAGATGAGTGAAGACAAAGTGTTGGCTGAGCAGTTGGATATGTTCAACAAGCTGATTCTTGATCTTGAAAATATTGATGTGAAGATCGATGATGAAGATCAAGCACTATTGCTGCTGTGTGCTTTGCCCAGAACACATGCTCACTTCAAAGAAACTCTCTTGTATGGAAGGGAGTCCCTGACCTTTGAAGAAGTTCAATCAGCCTTGTATTCTAAGGACTTGAACGAACGAAAGGAGCATAAACCTTCAGCGGTGGGCGAAGGTTTGGCCGTTAAGGGAAAATTCTTGCGAAAGGATGGTAAGTTCGACAAGAAGAAAGGTAAAAATCAACAGAAGTCTTATAGTGGCGAAACATCTAGTATTCGATGTTATCACTGTAAGAAGGAGGGTCACATAAGAAAGGTGTGCCCTGAACGCCTGAAAGATCATGGAGGTAATGGCAATGCAGCCATTGTTCAAGATGACTTCGACTCATCTGATGTTCTTGTGGTTTCAAGTGGCGACTCGAGGAAAGAGTGGATTATGGATTCAGGTTGCACTTGGCACATGACTCCAAACAGAGAATTGTTCGAGGAGCTATGTGATCAAGATGGTGGATCTGTGCTGTTAGGAAACAACAAATCTTGCAAAATTGCAGGTATTGGATCTGTGAGATTCAAGCTCCATGATGAGTCAATAAGGTTATTGACTGAAGTCAGGTACGTACCTGACTTGAAGAGAAATTTGATTTCTCTTGGTGAATTCGACAGAAAAGGATATGTTTTTCAAGGAGAGAAAAGTATCCTAAGAGTCATGAAGGGGTCGAAGGAAGTCTTGAGAGGCGTGAAGAAACAAGGCTTGTATACCCTTGAGGCTGAGGTTGTAAGTGGTTCGACAAATGTTGCATCCACGAAACTTATGTCGAAGACAAAATTATGGCACATGAGATTGGGCCATGTCAGCGAAAGAGGCCTGGTCGAATTGGGGAAGCAGAATCTGCTAGGAGGTGACTAAGTCGAAAAGTTGGAATTTTGTGAATCTTGTGTATTTGGTAAATCCTGTAGGGCGAAGTTTAACAAAGGCAAGCAAAGAACACATGGATCCCTGGATTACATTCATGCTGATCTTTGGGGGCCTGCAAGGAATCCTTCACACTCAGGTGCAAGGTATTTTCTATCCATCGTTGATGACTATTCCAGAAAACTATGGGTATTCATTCAGAAGACGAAGGATGAAACTTTTGAGAATTTCAAAAGTTGGAAGATTCTAGTCGAAACTCAGACTGGCAGAAAGGTTAAGAGGTTGAGAACCGACAATGGCCTTGAATTCTGCAACGAAGCTTTCGACAGTTACTGTGTTGGGTCTGGGATTGCAAGGCATAAGACTGTAGCAGGTACTCCTCAACAAAATGGCTTAGCTGAGAGATTCAATCGAACAATCCTTGAAAGGGTTAGATGCATGTTGGTTAGTGCTGGATTGAAGAAGGTGTTTTGGGCGGAAGCTGTTTCGACAGCAGCTTACCTGATAAATAGATGTCCCTCGACTGCCTTGGGAATGAAGACACCTGAAGAATTTTGGTCAGGACAGCCACCTAGTCTCGACAGACTGAGAGTATTTGGATGTGTGGCCTATGCTCATATTAGGCAAGACAAGGTCGAACCTAGAGCTCTGAAATGCATGTTCATGGGATACCCTGAAGGAGTCAAAGCTTATAGGCTATGGTGCCTAGAGCCAGGTCACAGGAGGTGTATCACCAGTCGAGATGTAGTTTTCAACGAAGCAGAGATGGCTTTCAAGAAAACTGATGATGCTGACGAAGAGCTGGAACATGGAGAGATTCCTGTTGAGGTGGAGCATGTTGATGCTGAATTACTTACCCCAGATGAAGTCGAAGAAGACACAGAAGATGTTGTCGAAGATGAGGAGACTGATAATGACTACCTGCTAGCAAGAGACAGGTCGAGGAGAGTCATCAAGCCACCTCAGAGACTTGGGTATGCAGATCTTATAGCTTATGCCTTAATCTCTGCTAGTGAGGTTCTAGATGAAGAACCTAGAGACTATAAGGAAGTTATGAGGAGTCGAAAGAAGACTGAATGGCTGAAGGCCATGGATGATGAGATGAAATCTCTTCATGATAACAACACCTGGGAACTGATCAAGAAACCTGCTGGAGCCAGGTTAGTCAGCTGTAAATGGATTTTCAAAGTTAAGGAAGGAATCGAAGGAGTGACATCGAAGAGATACAAGGCAAGATTGGTTGCTAGGGGATTCACTCAGAAAGAAGGTATTGACTTTAATGATGTGTTCTCTCCTGTTGTGAAGCACAGATCCATTCGAATGTTGCTTGCCATGGTGGCCCAGTTCGACCTTGAACTGGAACAGATGGATGTGAAGACTGCATTCTTGTATGGTAATCTAGATGAAACAATCCTGATGAGGCAACCTGAAGGGTATGTCGAAAGGGGGAAGGAAGATTATGTGTGCAAACTGAATAGATCTTTATATGGACTGAAACAATCTCCTCGACAGTGGAATAGGAGATTCGACAAGTTCATGGCACACATAAGTTTCATCAGAAGCCAGTTCGACCACTGTGTTTACTTTAGATTTCGACCGGGTAATTCATTTGTTATTTTGTTGCTCTATGTGGATGATATTCTAATAGCAAGCAACAATGTCGAAGAGGTAATGAGGGTGAAGGCTGAACTCAATAAAGAGTTCGAAATGAAGGATCTGGGAGCTGCGTCCAGGATTCTTGGGATTGACATCCGGAGAGATAGAAAGCATTCGAAATTATGCTTATCTCAAGAGGCATATCTACAGAAGGTTCTCGAAAAGTTTGGTATGTCG